GGGCAACCCCTGCCAGGGTTTCACCACCCTCACTGGAAAGAATTTCTTCCTTAGATCCAGTCTAAACCTCCCCTGCTTCAGTTTAAAACCATCCCCCCTTGTCCTGCCCCAGCTGGCCCTGCTAAAAAGCTTGTCCCCCCCTTTCCTCTGGGCCCCCTTGAAGCCCTGACCGGCCGCACTCAGCTCTGCCCGCAGCCTTCTCTTCTCCAGGCTGAACACCCCCAACTCTCCCAGCCTGGCCTCAGAGCAGAGGGGCTCCAGCCCTCGGAGCATTTTAGTAGCCCTCCTCTGGCCCCTTTCTTCTCCCCCGCCCCCAATTTTCTCTCATTTTGCAGCCTCCGGCGGCAACAAGCCGCTGCATAAAGCCGCGACTGAGGTCAAACTGAGCATCTCATCGTGCGCCTGCGCCCCTCTGGCAGAGGAACCAGCGCCCTGGGGTGGTTTGTGATCTTTCTGGGATGACTCTGGGGAAACCCTAATGAAACCTCGCATCTTTTGCCTTGCTCCTACAAATGAATTACTGTGAAGGCTCGGCTGGAAACGAAGAAAAAAGCTCTCCCTCTGCTAACGAGAGGAAGCTGGCAGCAGGTTCGGGGGGAGGCGCGCACAGGGCTTCACAGCGGGAATTTTGTTCGTTTTTCTCACGACTGTAACCCCTTCCCAGGGGCGTATGTCACGGCGGAACGCAGAGATGTGCTTACAGCAACGCACGGTGCGTACGCGAGCCATGGCTTGGTGAACAAGTCAGAATCTTTATCATAAAGTAATTTTATTTCTTTTTTTTATTTGTTCAGTGCTGTCACCGTTCCCAGCCAAAATTTTTGCATCAGGTCGGAGAACAACCTGAAGGGAAGGTCCGCGTGGTCTCAGATGCTGCCGAAACGTGAAACACAATTCCCGGTAAGTGGCTTTTTTGGACACCGGGGATGCGGGGGGGATTGCATCTCATGAAAGAATTCAGCGCCTGGGCAAACCACGTTGCTTAAGCGGTCAGAGTTTGGGGGGGGTTGGGTGGTTTTGGAGGGGGTGCGCTGCCCTGAGAATTACTCCTGTAAAGATTTTGGCGTTAGAAAATCCAGAGGTGTTTCTGGAGTCAGTCCCCTGGGGTCTGCAGTTGAGTCCCGCTGGCATCCCGCTCACGGCAGCGTGGTCCCGGCCGTTGTTTTGCCCCAGTTTCCCCGGAAGCTTGGCACTGCAGCGTTTCTTCAGCCCACGTTCCTCCCCCTGCCCCCAGTAGTTTCCAGATGTTCAGGACACAACAACATGATTTCTCTTTCGGGTGCATCTTGGCTTTGTTTTGTCTAACCTTTAATGTAAATTAATGTACATAAAATTACCTTGGTAGTAGCGTCAGGATGGCAGAAGGAAATGGCATTGCAGTCAGCCCTGAAGGTATAAACCTCTGCAGCACTGGCAGTGGGTAAGTATCCTCACAGCCCTGTGAATAAGAAATTTATGAGTTGGATAGAGAGTTAGGTGAACTTAAGGAAAGTATTGAGAAAAGAGTAATAAAAAACCTGAATTCCTGAGTTTAACCTCTGGCTGACAGGTTGCCAACAAGCAGCGCTGAGGTGGAGCAGTCACAAGTCGTTCCTTCCACGCTGAGAAGGCAATCACTTCGACTTTGCTCCCTGGGTGAAGTCAAACGCTGCTACATTTTTTATGTCATGGGGATTGGTAGATAGGAATAAAAACAGGCATATGAACTCTCTCCTTGCTTATTTCTACTCATAGCCTAATGGCCAGCAGATCCCAAAACATTCTAATAAATTGCATTTTGGGGTAAGAGAGCGATACTTGGACATTGAAGAGATTTTTGTCTCAAAAACGATACTCTTACAAACTGTCTTCCAGCAAATTACTAGCACTGTATAAATTAAACTGAAGTCTGCTGAGGAACTATCAGATCCTGAAAACTTTAAAATACATTTTTATGTGTATGAGGAACTGATGTTAAATTTAAACAGCCAGCGTAGGTTTTTTTGGCATCTTAGAGCTTTTCTTTTGGAACTAAAAGGCTTGTGGCTATAGATGCTTCCCACTCCACAGTATTCCCTGTTGTATTTTGACAGAGCAAAGCTCAATTTTCAGTTAAATACCGAAAAGGGGAGGGGGGGAAGTTACAACCGCAAAAATGTGAACCAATTTGTCCATCCGTCTATTTGTTCTCTGCCACATCTACACAACACAGAACAGATACAAATTCAGCAAAAGCACTGCCGGAACAGTTCTAGGGCCAAGATTTCTGGTAAGATCCACCATCATTTTGCAGCTGCAGTTGGAATCAATGAAAGACAGCCGAGGCAAAACACAAGACTTCTTACACTCAACCCACTTCTATATCAAGTCTTTCTAGGAATTTAGTCAAACATTCTCTATATTAATTTGATTTTTCAGGAAAGTTTTTCAATAGCACTTGTATGATTTAGGAACGGGACATGGTTTAGAGGTGGGATGGCAGGGTTAGGTTACAGGTTGGACTCGATGATCTCAAAGGTCTTTTCCAACCAAAGTGATTCTATGATGATTCTATGATTCTACTTCTCTCTCCTTGCCCGTGGATTTTGTTGCCGAGCAGGGATCGAGGATGCGCTGGCGGGCTCGGGATGCGATGCAGAATACGGTGCAGTGAGCACAGTCGCTGCGTGGTGTTAGGTCCCTTGCTCACAGCACAACTTTTATATTTTTTGGAACGCGTGGCTTGCGCGTTGCCTGGCTTCACTGAAGCGCGTTCTTGATGGGCCACAGCTACCCTGGCCTCGCAGGCTGGGGAAAAGCCAATTCTAGCAGCGAAGTAAAACCATAAGCAGCGGGAGGTGATGAGTTCCACTGGTGGCAGTAACAGCTTCATGGCATTCCGTGGAGGAGTGCTCCTGGAGGACAGCGAAGCAAAAAGGCTCTGCCATACGAATTCCTACGGAAGAATAAAAATAGTGTATTAAGCTAATCTTTTGGAAGGTGTAAATGCTTAAAGATGGTTGGTCCCCCGAGGTGAAAGAGATCGTTAGGGCACCTGACATCGTCTTTTTCCCTTGGAAGAAGAGCTGAAACAATCTGAAGAGAATTTGTCTTTGCTGGTTCGGCTTGTGGGGTCTGAGGGGGAATTACATGATGGCTTTCCTGGCCTTGAGGAGAGAAAAGTGAAAGCATCACCACTTCTGGGTTAAAAATCTCAATTTGAGGGAAAGCATATGAAAGAGGCGAAAGTTCTGCCGATGCCAGTTGTGACTTGACCAGCGCGGGGCTAGCTGAGGAACGTGGGCGAGGCAGCTGCTTAGGTGTTTCGGGCTGCGGTCAGTTGGTGTTCCAGAGCGCAGAGGCAGCAGCAGGAGAAGGGGAATAACTCGAGAGGTCATGGCAAGACCCTCTCCGAAGTCACCTTTAACGCGCAGCAGCTGGAGGAGGTCTGACCTACAGGACTGTGACAATCCCGGGGGGGAAAAAAAATAAATCTCTCACTGGAGAAGCCTCCCTGGCTCAGCTGGGTAAATGAAAAGAACGGCTTCCAGTTGTGAGTTATCCATGGGGGGGGTGCATCAGAGGAGCTGCCTTAAATCGCTGCCGTTTGTGCCTTACGTGCTATTAAGACTCATCAGGTTTCCCAGGAGAGTTACATTGCGAGAGGAGGAATAACTCCCATTCCTGCCCGTGAGTTAGAGCGTGAATATTGCATTGAGGTAAAGCAAAATGCACAGCCGTGAGCTACGGCAGAGACACTCGGCGTTGGTTCAGAGCCCTACAAGCTCATTAACAGTTTGACCGTGCGCTGCGTGTAATCCTGACAGCTTTGAGAAAGGATTTTGTAATCGTTGTCTTCAAAGCAGAAGATAAGAAAGGAGCGTTGCAGGAAACAGAAGTGTGATTACAGCCAAGAACTGGAGAAGAGCAAAGCCTTAGTATGGAGACAGACTGCGTAACTTTAAGAGCAAAGGTGATGTCCAGCTTTCAAAATAAAGCTAAGAATAGGAGGGGAAATCTCAGCATGAAGCTGGAGGATACATCTTACAAGACTCTCCTCTGCAAACACATCTAACCATTTGCTGATTTCCTCTTTTTTTTTTTTTTTTCCCCCTCCACATACCACATGATCATTTTAGGTGATTACAGACGAAACATAAAACAACAAAGCTGAAAGGCGCATTAGGCCGAGACTACAAAGCAGTTTGGTATGAAAAGCAACAGAGGAGTTCTCAAGAAAGAGCCTTCCTTTTCCGTCAGCTTGAATTCTACACGTGGTGACACCCAGAGAGTCTTACAAAATACCAAACAGTGTGGCAGGGCATTAGCTTTGCCCTGCTCGCTGACGGGTGATCAGCCCCGAGTCCGGATATAAACTGACCCTCGTGGAGGCGGCTCTCAGTAACGAGCTAACGCAGCCTCGCGCTCGGTCGAAGGGGCAGAATTAAGGTGCAGATCAGCTACGCTGGCATGCTGGTGCTGAAAGCTTTCAGGACTTTTCCAAAGTATCTTGCTTCTCCCTTTTGGTTTATCGTAGGGTCCACGCAGCACATCCCTCTGAGATTGTTAAACTTCAGGGTGACCGTTTCATTCAGGTTTAACGAGCGCTGCCTGTTTGTTACCAGCCTCTCAAGACTGCACGTGGTCACAGAACAACAAGCATTTAGGAACTTGCACTTCAAAAAGTGGTGGGGAGAGGTCAGTGAAACTCTCTGAGACTCCTTGAAATTGGTTTATCTCAAATTTTGTATTTTTTTTGCTTTATTTGCTTCCTCGTAGGGCGTCCGTCACCTGCCAAATAAAGAAGCTGGAACAGCCTATCCGCAGCAAACCTGACAGGATCTCTGCTACATCGCGAGCGCTGGGTTGAAGATGTGCATCCAGACGTCTCCTCCCGCGCACAGAACATGGTATTTAGTCGGTGCCCAGCTCCTCTGCGTTGTAGGGAAGCCACTGTACAGCTGCCAGTCTCTGCAGCGGGCCGCTGGCGAGAAGGCCGTTTCTCAGCTCACGACTGTAGAAGAGGCTCCTTCCTCTCCACTTCCAGAATTAGGAGCTGCTTTGTCGTGCTGCTCCGATGCTCTCAGGTTAGCTCTGAGCGGGCGTGCGACCACTGGTTCAACGTGTGGTTCATGGGGTGGGGGTGTGGTACTTTCCATTGGTCTGTGTTGCAGCCCAGCGTCAGGCTTTGGGAAAAAGAAAACGTGCAGAATTCTGAATCTACGCACTTCATGGGCAGTAAAGGGGGGAGAACGGCTGAGCAGCTGAATTCCACGTGGCTTCTATTTGTATGTCTTCCATGTGGGTTTTTTTTCTCCCCTCTCTCTTGTTCCAGACTCGCCCCCTGGAGAGGAGTGTTACTGCAGCACACTGTATTTCACAAGCGGTGATATATTCGTTAAGAACGTAAGAATTCACGCTGTGGAAATGGGCTTCACAATCAGCGTGCCCATGAGCTGCCTCCTGGGCGTGACGGGTCGCTTCACGCCTCTGTGCAGGGTATTTTTTTCTTCTTACATCCTCTGTACGATCCTTCTCTTAAATTGCGCTCTCGATGTACAGGAAATGCTTCTGTAGTTCAGTGGAACGTTTTGTCATCTGGCTGATGCTGGAGCAAGGAGAGGCAGCCTGTTTACCTACAGGCAGCACTGGCACAAAGAGATCACCCCTGCAGCCCACCTCACCTGCTTTGAAGGGTTTTACTGTTTAACTACAGATCAGCTACGCACAGCACGCTCTCTTCCCCTTCTTTTAAGCAAGATTTATCGCTGTCCTTCAGTTAGTCTGGGGGCAGGGGGAGAAGGGAGGGCTGGCTGTTTCTCTGGTTTTAAAATTGGACGTAGCTCTAAAGGCAACTAGGTATCTTACTTCCTTTGGCATGGATAGTTATTAATACTTAAATACCTTTGTGCCTCTGGTTCCTGTGCAAATCCGTTCTACTGGGAGCAGTTTGTCTTCATCTTGGCAGCTCGGGATGCTACCAAACCTTTGCCTTTTCAATCTCGCCTGTGACGTACTTGCAGGCGATGCTGGGAGGGCCCTGCCAGTAGCATGCAAAGACACCATCCCTGGCTGCGTCCCCCGAAGGACAGGAGTGAATACCTGCCTGTCTGCGTGTCACCTAGCGACGCTCGCGGGGTCTTCTGCCAACAGCCAGCCTTGAGCGCAAGCGCACGTTTGTTCCTTAAACACCGCAAGAAGCACACAGCGATGATGTCTTGAAGCGAGCCCGTGGCACCAGGGTAGTGTGTGAAGAGTAAATCTTGTCTTACCTCATCATTTCGCCATCTTTCTCGTACATAAAAGCATTTAAAACAGGTGAAAACATTTAGTGTGCTAAGAAAAACCTGCAGTGAAGGCAGTACAGTAGTTGGACCCCTTGGAAGAAGTTACTTTGTCATTTGCTTGAGTGCTTACTACGAGTTTTATCAGACAGCAGTGAATCACAGGCTGCTTTTTTATCCTGGGGAGCAGGAACTTCCCACTCTTAGAGAAAATGGCTTGTCTTACTAAAGTTTCAGCACCTCAGTTTGAAGAAGGTGGGTACTGATCAACAGCGACCACCTTGTGGAGTCACCACGTGATTTAATTAAGTGCAAGAGCTGCGGTAATGCAGCCAACTCAACAATACATAGGTGATGAAGCTGTTGTAGTCTTTTGCTAATGGTAACAGTACTTTGGCTGTGATCACACTTAGAAAAGTCCAGATATTTTCAGAGCTGAGCAAGTCTTTTCCAGCTTGTTTCCCGTACTACTGCAAAAGATGATCGGAGCACCAGTATCATCCTGTTTGCATCTCCGTGCAAACATCCCTTACTGCTCCATACAAAACGGGGGCAGGTCATCAAGGAAATAGGATAGCAAGATCTCTTTTGGCAATTTACTGTGTGCAACAGTCAGAAAAGCAAGAGGTTGAAAGTCCAAAGTAGTATGATTGCTTGTTTAGTGGTTGCAGATTGTCTCGTGAAGTGGCAGTGTCATTTCTATACAGTCCCTGAGCTATAACTTGTACAGCTTTAAGAGCCTTTTGGATTGTTCTAGTGAAAGTTTTGCCAGTAAAGCTTCTACCGTTAACAGCTTTGAGTATACAGTGTACAGAATCTGCATAGCAGAAGGCACTTTATAAATGACCATTGCTTGGGTTAGGTACTGGCAGTAGGTGAATGCTGGCATTGTGCAGTTAAATTATAAACTTACTAGGTTCCAGAATTTTGAGACAAGTTTCCCTACTAGAAGACTATCAAGGATTAGAAGGATTTTATCAGAATAACCTGACTTTGTACATTTTTCTTTGAAAACATGCTTTGGAAAAAGGGGAGGTACACAGAAAGAAGGGGGGTGAGGGAGAAAAAAAAACAACTGTATTTTATTCTACTCCCCCTTCAGAAATGAACAGAGCACAGCTATCTAGTAGCAGCAGCTTGTAATAGTATTAATTATGCAAAACAATGTCTTAGGACTTTCCACCAAGTGCAGAACAGCATAGTACTTCTCAAAACATAAACTGGGCAGAGAGGCTGGCTTGTATGTCGTTTCACAGCTAATCACACCTTTAATTTTTTTTTCTGCTTAATCAGGACATCTAAGAGTTCAGCAAGAGAAATGAAGAGATGAAATGCCTCTCAATCCCCATGGCACAGGTGGACCTTGGCAGGTTGTTACAGAATGCAAAGTCATTGTCACAGCTGCTACTGAAGCTATTCTGGGTGAACATACAGTGAATATACCGCGGAGTCAGGCAAAGCTACCGAGCTCCACAATTTCAGGTTCAAGGTCTGACAAGGATGTTGCAGGAGATGTTTGAAACAAGCAAATATAAAAAGGAAGCAGGGTGGGTGTTTTCTTGACATCTTTCCCAGTCTTAAAAAGGGAGACATAAAACCATTCTTCATGGCTGTGTTGGCTTTTAAAAGCCCTAAGTAATAGGGGGAAAAAAAGCTTAAAAGCCTAAAATCCTCTGGGGCAATCACTCCCATTCCACCACAGTGAAACAGTTAAGGGTCACTTTGACAAAGTGAAAAATGTTAGAGTATTTTGATGTAAGACAATTTTTCCTTTTTTTTTTAGGACATCAAGCCTTGATCCCAAAGCTTCAACTTATGAGGAATAAGCTAGGTGATTTTTTTATCAGTTATTTCCAAAAAAGCACCCAATTTAAATACATAGAACTGTCTAGTACAGGCTTGTAAACAGACAATTATTTAATCTAGCAGCAACGATCCTGGCCCTGAAGATGTGCAAGACAAGAGACCGCAACACAGTTTTGGGACCATTCTTTGGTTTGTTAACAGGGGCTATGGGGGGCACAGAGGGTTTGCACCTGGGCCATGCTCAGGCCACTCAACCCGTATTGACTTCAGTCAGAATTGACACAGAACAACCTTCACTGCCACCCATCCTGAGCCTACAGAACTACCACATTTGTACTCGTTCTTCTCTAATTAAGATTGATCATTAGTGATACAGGCTACAGATTGACACTCTTCATTTCCTGGTTCTGTATTTCTTAGCAAGAGAAATATTGTCCATGAATGTTCCCCATTCACAGGCAGAGGTGCGTAACTGAAGACTGAGAGGGGACCTTGTCAACACATACAAATATCTTAAGGGTGGAAGTCACGAGGACGGAAGCAGTCTGTTTGCAGTGGTGTCCAGCGACAGGACTAGGGGCAATGGGTACAAACTGAAACATAAGAGGTTTCAGTTGAATATGAGGAAAAACTTCTTTACTTTAAGGGTGACAGAGCACTGGAACAGGCTGCCCAGGGAGGTTGTGGAGTCTCCTTCTCTGGAGATATTCAAAGCCCACCTGGATGAAGTCCTGTGTAACATGCTCTAGGAGAGCCTGCTTTAGCAGGGGGGTTGGACTGGGTGATCTCCCGAGGTCCCTTCCAGCCCTTGCGATTCTGTGATTCTGTAACACAGTGGGAACATGACATTTATTTGGTAGTGCCCAAAGTTCTTCATAGCTTAGACATTTAGCTGCTGTTTTCAGTGTTGCTCACTGCTTATTAGTGAAGACACCACAAATCTATAACTTAGATGATTTTTGACTGTCATTTAAGCAGCATCAGAAAGACAACAGCAGGAAGCTACCGTGTTTACAGACATTCCCTGGGCAGCAGCTACCATCGCACCCACACATTCCCCACAGCCCTCAAAAGGGGGCACAGAAACCCGCGTTACCGTGGGGCTTCAGGCAGGCCACACTGGGACACCCCCCCAGGGACCACCCCCTGCCCTGTTCATGCCCTCGGGCCGCCACAGCCGAACCCCACCCACGCACAATTCCCCGCCGACGCCTGCCCGGCTGAGGCTCTTGAGAGGACAGACATGAGGTGCCAAGGCTCTCGGGGGGGCACATGAGGTGACGAGGCTCTTGGTGGGGGATACATGAGGTGTGGAGGCTCTGATGGGACAGACATGAGGTGACAAGGCTCTGAGGGGACAGACATGAGGTGACGAGGCTCTGGGAAGGGATACATGAGGTGACGAGGCTCTGAGGGGACACAGGTCTGATGGGACAGACATGAGGTGACAAGGCTCTGAGGGGACAGACATGAGGTGACGAGGCTCTGGGAAGGGATACATGAGGTGACGAGGCTCTGAGGGGACACAGGTCTGATGGGACAGACATGAGGTGACAAGGCTCTGAGGGGACAGACATGAGGTGACGAGGCTCTGGGAAGGGATACATGAGGTGACGAGGCTCTGAGGGGACACAGGTCTGATGGGACAGACACGAGGTGACAAGGCTCTGAGGGGACAGATGAGGTGACGAGGCTCTGGGAAGGGATACATGAGGTGACGAGGCTCTGAGGGGACACAGGTCTGATGGGACAGACACGAGGTGACAAGGCTCTGAGGGGACAGATGAGGTGACGAGGCTCTGGGAAGGGATACATGAGGTGACGAGGCTCTGAGGGGACACAGGTCTGATGGGACAGACATGAGGTGACAAGGCTCTGAGGGGACAGACATGAGGTGACGAGGCTCTGGGAAGGGGGATGCATGAGGTGATGAGGCTCTTGAGAGGACAGACATGAGGTGCCAAGGCTCTCGGGGGGGCACATGAGGTGACGAGGCTCTTGGTGGGGGATACATGAGGTGTGGAGGCTCTGATGGGACAGACATGAGGTGACAAGGCTCTGAGGGGACAGACGTGAGGTGACAAGGCTCTGAGAGGACAGACATGAGGTGCCAAGGCTCTCGGGGGGGGCACACGAGGTGACGAGGCTCTGAGGGGACAGATGTGAGATGTTGAGGCTCTCAGGGGGGCACATGAGGTGCCGAGGCTCTGAGGGGACAGACATGAGGTGCCGAGGCTCTGGGTGGGGGTACCTGAGGTGTTGAGGCTCTGTCTTTGTGGCAGCAGCAGCTCGGAGGCTGCCCGCAGACCGGCTGAAGCCAAGGCCCTGGCACCCTGAGCCACAGCGGGCAGGTGGCCACGGGCCCCTCCGAGTCGTACAGCTGCGGGAGGGCGGGGGGTCCGGGGGGCCATGCTTCTCCCCACAGACAAGGGGTCAGCCCTGCCCGCGCTGGGTGAACCTGGGTGATTTTTGGTGGTGAAGCCCGGTGGGTCGGTGGGCCCTTGCCCGCCCTGCGTGCCTTCCAGTGTACGTACGCGTCAGTGCAAAGGCTGTGGCTGTACCTGGCCCCGCCAAGGAATTTCCCTTCATAAATTACTAGCCCTACACACCATTTATATATGTATACTATATACACACATATATTTTTATATATATATCTGTAGGAGATTTTCGCTGCTGGAGCTGTAATGCAATGTTATTTGCCTTGGGCAAAAGTCAGAGCGGTTTAAAACACGCTGTGGGACACAAGCAGCGATTTTCTTGCCCGCATTGGAGAAAAATGCAGTGAACTCCGTGTTTACTCAGCTACTCCTGCCCGATTTACGCGAGCGTTTTAGGCTGAGGTGGCAGAAGGGGTTTGCGGTGGCAGACCGCGTCCTACAGCTTCAGGAGGCTCCTGGGGTCGAGAAATTTGGCGGTAGAGGTGCAAAAATGCGTAAAAAAAAAAAAAAGGGAGGGAAAAGGGGAGGTTTAGGTTCTCCCTCTCGGGTAAAGAAAAACTGATGCTTCCCATACCGGGAGTCGAACCCGGGCCGCCTGGGTGAAAACCAGGAATCCTAACCGCTGGACCATGTGGGACCGGTCGCTCACAGAATTTGTTGCGCCGCCTGCTGCCTACGCCGCCCGCTGCCTGCGGGGCCTCCTGTTTGTGCTGCCTCCTGTTTGCGCCGCCTGCTGCCCGCTCCGCCTGCCCGCGCTGCCCGCACCACTGTCCGCATGCCTGCCCGCTGCCCAGGCTCTGGGCAGCCGCCCCGAGCAGCCGCCGTGGGGGCGCGCCGGGACGG